CCCAAAAAAACAAAATGGAAGAATGAGTTAAAACAGAACACAATCTTGCTACTCAAGCTGTGTATTAACACACACACACACATATATATATATATATATATATATATATATATGGTTCTTTGGAGATTAAAAACGTTTTTTTATGTTTCATTATAGGTTCTTTGGTGTATTGGCTTCTTGGTTCTAAAAAATAAAGGTTCTTTGATATCTATGAAGAACCGTTCTCTGTTGCGTAAAAAGGTTTTTTAGAACTAAAAATTGCTCTTTAAAGAAATATTCACTGAAACCTTCTTTTGGGAACACATAATTTTGAAACTTTTATTTTTAATAGATTTTTTTTTTTATTAATTAAAAGAAAAAATTTAGGCCTCGTCATAAATATAAAATGAAATAAAATCATATAAGCAGTCAAACCCCTTTGAATAATAATATTAATAATAACAATAATAATAATACATTTTATTTAAGACGCCTTTCAGATCACTCAAGGTCACCGTACATCAAGAGCAATAAACAATAAACAATGTCAATGAATCATAAAAAGAGAAGCCATAACAAAAGTTGCAACAATACAATAAGAGAAAGAAAATAAAAAAACAATGCACACAATATCATATTTTTAAAATTATGCAATAACATTTTTTGCACGAAAGTGAGAGCATTTGCCTGTCGACAATTCATCGCAACACTCACCTTTTTGCACTCCTGTGTTGATGGGGGTCCAAGAAGAGCTTTTGCTTTCCTTCAAAAGATTTTCTGTAGGGTCTGAAAGAAAGCGTTTGAAAATACGTCTGACATTTAGAATTTAGCTGTGATTTTATTGAAAATGCCTTCTGAAATATTGGAGTAATAAAACGCAACAGATGCATTAAACATATTTCCCCGTCTGTGTATTTGTAATTTGTCATTTTAAACAAAACACGTAATGTCACTCATCAATAATCATCATTAACAAATCGCAGCAAAAGAGGTTAAATATTATGAGTATTGTCGTGTTGCTGCTCGATGTATTTGCCCAGACTTCAGCGCTGAGGTCAGGAAACGCGTCCAGGAAAAAGGATATCCGATTTCCGACAAAAGAGGACATGCGTTCCAGATGGAGAAGTCAGAGACACCGGCGATGGTGCGCAGCATTGCACCCGCGGACCCCTAGCATCGCCCTTTTCTTTTCAGTCATTTCAGCAATATTTCTCATTTTACACACAAAAAGACTGTGTACCTGAGAGATACATGTTAAACATAAGGCTTCCTCCGCAGTTCTGTCGCATTGTGGTGGCGGTGGAGGACGTGAAAGGGTAGGCTTTCATTGGCGCAAAGATTTTTATTAAACTTTATCTCAAAACTGTGATCTGGAATAAATGCGAGACAGATTGAAGTTTCCAGGCAACTGTCACAAGCCCCATCTCTGAGACAATATTCAGACAGCAATTTCCTTCGGTGCATTGGTTTAATTAAAAGAGCAATTTACCTCTGTCATCCCTCCCCGTCTCCACAATAAAAAGGAACCGATAGAAATTCGGCCTTATCAATCCACCATCAAGGTTTAATAAAGTTTCTGCGTTAAGATCAGAGTTTCTATGGAGAATTGAAGTGTTTGACATGGAAACCGGTTCAGATCCTTTTTCTTTTCCGCCCTTTTACCTCTTTGCAAACAGAAAGGCCTGTTCCATGTTGGTTGAGAATATTTACCTTTTAACCATGCCTCAGTGCATAATGGGAAACAAGAACATTTTATCCCAAACTTATGCTGCTTTAATGAGCAATAGATGGTATGGTAAACCCATCTGTTACATAATGCATGTATGTACTGGCTGAGATTTTTTTATTTTTATTTTAATATAGCACATGATATTCTAACTTTCTAAATTCGCGTAATATTATACCTTTCTAAACTCGGCATAATAGACAATAACAATGGTCTTTTATTATAATGATAACATCTTTTTATTATACAAGTCCTTGAATTTCATGTATATTTCATGTAGGCTATACCTTTTTTACAAAACCAAATCTTAACAAATAACCAAACAATGATAAATGTAGATAGATTTAGATTCTGTTGTACGTATTTTACACTGTGATTTTTGAGTTTTAAACTGTTAAAACAACAACAACAACAATAACAGAACAGATTGGGTTCACCCTATATTTGACAATAATTCATACGACATTCCACTCGTGAACTAACCGAAAAGGAAGATAAATGTTTTTTTTTTTCTTGTGCCAAGTAAACATGCTAATGCTGACTGTCTGTACAGAGGTGTGTATTTATTGTTTAAAACTGACAATAAAGGTAAATATTTGGTAATAAAGGGTAAAGAAGTCTTATGATCGTGAAATAGGTCAGGTAGGTACTGTGTGTGCAGTCTAGCCTACTTATTGTGTTTATTTAACCTGTAAATTGCACAATGATTGATTGCATCAGCTTAAACTGTCAGAGTAGCATCATTATCGACATGGACAAACATTAATATCATCTGTAATAATTTTACTCATCTTCTGTGCATCGTTCTGACGCGCTCTGTCGTGTTGTCTCTGGCGTCCCAGACTTGCTTTAGCTGCCTGAGCCATTAAATAGATCGCAGGCAACTGAAAACAAGCCCCGGATGCAAGGCGATTCTTCAGTTTGTCCACGCGACATGGGTTACTTCATGCTGGTGCCGCGCTCCTAAATGCAACAATTAGAGAATTAAGGCAAAATAAATTAGAAAATACAAATTGTAAAGAGAATAGTTTAAATCTGGTATATATCTGAAGATTTAATTGTGTTTTTAATATCAGGTTATAGCTGTAAAGGACTTGCATGATTACACACTGTAAAAGCGAATCGTTCATTTAAGGAGATATTACTATCTGAATCCACAGGTTTTCTAGTTTATTTATTTTTTCCCTGAATGTTTTTTCCCTGAGAATTTTATTTGCGTTTGGAATCCAATCGTTTGAGCTAAAATGAGAGAAAAAAATGAAAATGTTAAAATCAGATATAGGGCGGTGGTGGGGATAACAATTAATTTAATAGTAAATTCCACCCTAAATTGATGCTCAAAATATAAAATGTACATGTTTGAATTATTGACTTACAAATTTCCCCAGTAGAGGGGGTAAATTGTACCAGCAGCACCCTTTATATTTGTTCAGTATTCATTTCAGTTTAGAGTTCGGTAGAAGCAACGTTAAACAACGTTAATCTGAAGCATGCAGAAACTAGAAAATGAGTTATATCTAAGCTTAAGATACATTGCGTTATAGAGATTAATCAACAAACTGTGTTGCCTGTGTCTCCTTCTCTTGTTTATGTAACCTTTTAGTCAGGTTGATTTAATTCTAACAAACACGAGTTTTATTTAAATATTTTACATGAATATAACTAATCAACTTATGTCATAGCCTACATTTAAGTAGCATATTTAGGTTAGTTATTAAAATGTTTTACTGTGTAGTTTAAAAGGTTTGATTTGTGATTCATAGCTGTATAACCTGACTGCTATTTCCTAAACTAACACACACTATAGTTCCGGTCTGTGTCCTGGTTTGCTCCCTCAATAAGTTGACTTACCCCGTCCTGTTATGTCAGACTGCAGCCTCACAGGTTTTCTAGTTTATTTATTTTTTCCCTGAATGTTTTTTCCCTGAGAATTTTATTTGCGTTTGGAATCCAATCGTTTGAGCTAAAATGAGAGAAAAAAATGAAAATGTTAAAATCAGATATAGGGCGGTGGTGGGGATAACAATTAATTTAATAGTAAATTCCACCCTAAATTGATGCTCAAAATATAAAATGTACATGTTTGAATTATTGACTTACAAATTTCCCCAGTAGAGGGGGTAAATTGTACCAGCAGCACCCTTTATATTTGTTCAGTATTCATTTCAGTTTAGAGTTCGGTAGAAGCAACGTTAAACAACGTTAATCTGAAGCATGCAGAAACTAGAAAATGAGTTATATCTAAGCTTAAGATACATTGCGTTATAGAGATTAATCAACAAACTGTGTTGCCTGTGTCTCCTTCTCTTGTTTATGTAACCTTTTAGTCAGGTTGATTTAATTCTAACAAACACGAGTTTTATTTAAATATTTTACATGAATATAACTAATCAACTTATGTCATAGCCTACATTTAAGTAGCATATTTAGGTTAGTTATTAAAATGTTTTACTGTGTAGTTTAAAAGGTTTGATTTGTGATTCATAGCTGTATAACCTGACTGCTATTTCCTAAACTAACACACACTATAGTTCCGGTCTGTGTCCTGGTTTGTTAAAGTTGACTTACCCCGTCCTGTTATGTCAGACTGCAGCCTGTCTCAGATCCAGCTGCTTTCAGCACTCTTGTCTGTCTTATAATCATTGCACTAAGAACGAGTGGCACACTTTTAATCAGCTCGTATGATATGTGTATTTGATAAAGGTGTGTGCAGTTGAACATTTATCAGGAGATCCTGGACTGGGTGTGGGATCGGGTGTTCAAACAGCAACTGCTCCGTCCACATCTGATCCTGTGAGTGGGTGTGTGCAGCCAAGTACGGCTAGAGTCCTGAACGGTTACAACGCAAACAAATATGAGGCGGAATCAGACCCGGATCCCAGGGTTACGAACCATTTGATTGGACGAACAAGAACCCGTACTTCCGTTAGCCCATCATTGTTACAAAGATTCGTCCATTGCATTAGATAGGCTGTTTTTCAACAGTGAAAAAAATAAAATAATAATAATCAAGAAAGAATATGTGCGACATGTGTTTAATCCACCAAGTTCAGGACCTCGGACAGCTCCAGACAAACCCAAACGGGTGAGACTCCCTCCCCCTCATTCATTTATAGTATACTGACGATAAATTCATTTTAATATATCATTATATATTATATAATCCCCCTTCATTTTCCATACTTATTGGCTGTATCATATGTTCTGTGTATAAATATACATAACATTTGTTTTTTTCTTGCTTTATCGACATCAACCCTGAACGTGGCTCGAGAACCAAGAAAGTGACTTTCAAGACTGGCAGTATTGACATGTTTCTGTAAAACTTATGCTGTCTGTTTTTAGTCCACGTTTGTGTGAACATGAAATGTAAATAAGATTACTGTTTGGTAATTGTTAACCGCACTTTAAATGTTTTTATTAAAAATGGTCAATTATTTATTTTTTATCTTTCTTTCTTTCTTTCTTTCTTTTCTTTTTTTGTTGCTTTAAAAATAAATGTTTTTAAACTCAGAGTTGTTTTCAATGTCCTTTTCCACGGGTGTTATGTAGAATAAAGTATGATATTTTAAATGATTTAGTGACAAATTCAATCTAAGTACAGTACATTACAGTATTCCCCTCTATAAATACAATGCATTGCTGTAGAGAAAACAGATGAATGCAGCAAAAATACATGATACTACAGCAGGATATTGTTTTTGGTGATAACAGCACATTTTGTTTATAGTGGTAGTCCTACAAAAATATAGTCAGTATATTTTATATAAATATATAGCCTACTGTGTGTGTGTGTGTGTGTGTATGTATGTATGTACCTGTATGTATGTGTTTATATAAATTTATATGTGAATGTAGCTGAAATCCTCAAAAGCAGGTCCACGAAGAACAAATAATGAGGCATTAACATAAAGATACTCATGCTCTTGTTTATTATAGATATAACAGTCTCATATCCATCATATAGGTGGTGTAGGACATCAAGCAAGAGTTTTTGTTGTTCAGCTGGCATAAAACATCCTAATTGTTAAATATAATGAAGTGGCTTATTCCTTCATCAGTCTAGTCCGAGTATTTTAGAAAAAAAACATTCTTAAAATGTCTGCATAATTACATTTACCTAGAAATGTAGGAGGCCAGCTCTAATTACATATGACTTAAAAAAGCATCAGATCTGCTTGTTTTACATCAAGAATTACCACTTAGCAGATCCATGAATTGAGCAGAGATGTATATGGAAGCAAGGAATTGCCACAATCACTCTTTTACTATAGTTTATATAATGTCTTTATTGCCTATAGTATTGACACGGCATGACATGGTGTACACAGTGGTGTTGGGTTTTAATGCTGAATTCTGCGCATAGACTGGATCTGATTGGTGTGTGCCTGGGTGCCGTACTCCTTGTAGCATCTGTACTCTCCTTGGTGTCTGTCCCTTTCAAAGATGTACTGATATCCACGGTAACCGGGAAACTGATAGCCTACCCAGCTGCCAGAGAAAAGGGCAAATCTCATTTACTGCACCGCACACAAATAAGACTGTGCAGGGAGCTGATGCATTAGTGATGCATTATTTGTCACAAAGAAATGGACATCCACAAAGGACAACACTCTGTATAATATGAGTTTTAAAGGAAATTATATATATATATAAATACAGTATACACCCTCAGAAAAAAGGTACAAAAGTTGTCACAGGGGCAGTACCCTTTCAAAAGGTACACATTGGTGCCTTATTTACCCCTAAAGGGTGCATATGAGTACCTTGAAGGTGCATAATAATACCTAAAGTGTACATATTTGTACCTTTTGAAAAGATACCATCTTTGTGAGAGTGTAAAATCACAAAGTAATGTATGTTACAAATACATTTTTTGATTGCATGTATTGTAGATATGCATTTTTACTGAAAATCTAATATATTACGTATATATAAATATACTATATAAAATATAAAAAGTAAAATATATAAAATAAGTGTATAATATATATCTAAAAAATGTGTATACATTTTTTTATGGCTTTAGTAACAAACATTCAAAAAATACTGAATAATTAAATATAGTTATTCAATATTTAGTTATTTATCCTAGTTTATTAATGACAGATGACCTGTGTTAAAAAGGTGATGAGGTGACTTACGCTCCAGAGTTGACTTTGATTGAGGGAACTTCCTTGCTGCACCAACCCATGGCTTGAAGGGAGGGATAATCCTCACACATCTCAAATTTACGTCCCATGAAGTCTTCACACTCATAGTGGGTAATCTTACTGTCACTGTGGTTCTGTCGGGGAGAGGGTGAGTATGGGAAATGAGATCACGGAGGTGATGACTTTGAGGATATTTGTTATGAAGTAAACCTAATGTGCTGAAATTGCAGAGATGATGAAAGAGGTGTAGGAGTATGTCTTCACAGATTTGACATAATGTTGCTTGTGCCCCCCGGGATAAACTTACAGCACATTTAATAGGTCTGAAAGAGAGCATGTGCTCTGTTCTGTAACTGCTGTTGCCACTCCAGGCCTGGTAACAGGGATAGTCTCCTTTCTCCAGGATAAACTGCTGGCCCTGGAACTCGGGATACTCATACCCCACCCAGCTGAGAGAGACAGAATGTCATAGTCAACGCAAACCAGGAAACAACAGCGTTTTACATGGCAGTGATCTCTACTGATCAGGACACAAAAGCAAAGCAAACACAATGGTGTGGACTGAATGGAGCGGCTCTGTGTTGCTTTATCAGCTCATCTGTCATCACCACAGCAGGCAGCTGCCAGCCACACGGACTATCGCCGCTATCTCTCTGTTGTTGTTCCAGTTTTAACAAAAAACAGCATTGAAGCTATAGTTACAGTTGGAAATATTGTTCATGACTATTATGTAGTTTTGTGGGGCACTGCTATCAAGTAAAGAGATACAAATAGTCATTGTAATTCTAATATAGGCATATTTTAAGTAGTAAAAAACAATAATAATGTAATTATATAATTGTAATTATTATTATTATAGATTAATCGATTAATTTTAAAATACATATAAAATTCTATTTTTCCTCTTATGCTCGCCCAGGTCAAAAGTACAGTAAAACATTCATATTATGAAATATTATTACATGAAAAAAAATTTTTAGTGTGATGGCAAAGCTGAATTTTCAGCAGCCATTATTCCAGTTTTCAGTGTCACGTGATCCTTCAGATCCTTCTGATTTTACATTATTTTTCCTTATTATCAATTTTAAAAATACTTGTGCTGCTTACTATTTTTGTTTACATTGTTTCAAGATACTTTGATGAACAGAAAGTTCAAAAGAATAGCATTTACTTGAAGTAGAAATCATTTGTAACATTATAAATGTCTTTACTGCCACTTTTGATTAATTTAATGCATTAAAAAACAGACGTGTATATATATTTTATATCTATGCACATATTACTTCTAATTTTACAAAACTCTCACTCATTTCGATCAATAAAAATATATCTCTAATATTAAACATGACAATCATATATCCTCTCTGCTTCACATTTTGCACATTAAAACATCCAGAGGCTACACTTACGGGCCGTTCTCCACCTTAATGGAGCGAATCTTTCTGAAGTCTCTGTCCAGAATGTTCTGGCACTCAAATCTGAATTCACAGCTCTTGCCCTGGAAGTATTCCTCCTCGAACACGGTCATCCTAAACTTCCCCGTCTGCTCCAACTGCTCCTGCGGATTCATGGCTGCTGTCGATCACCGCACTCTCTATCAGGAAAATGAGGAGAGGAGAGGGGCATAACCAAGACCACAGCGTGAATTCATGCACATGTGAGAAATTCCTGGGTAGATCAAGTGAAAATCGATTCCTGGATCGAGTGTTGACAGTATGTGTTTCCTGCTGACATTATCAAAAAAGATAATAAGCAAAAAAGATAATAAGCAAAAAAAAAAGGTCAATATGATCACATTTGCTCTGTCTGTGCTCTTTAGCATTGTACAGGAATCTGATGTTTCACTTTGAGGGCTAAGACAGTGGCATACTCACGTACTGAGGTGGGACAGATCCAGTATAATCAATGTGGTGGCCAAGCCCTTGTCCAGTGTTTTTATAGGACAGGGCTCCTCATTTAGTGCAGAATGCGCATAAGGCCTGCACACTCAGCAGCAGCCAACAGAAAAACCGCATTAGCCTTCACTATTGTGGCGCCATGTGCAGCCTATTGTGGAGGTCTTAGACCCACTGACTCATCAAAACTCCACTATCTGCCCCCACGCCAGACTCTTGGCTATTTACAATGGCTATGCTTTGACATGAGACTTTAATCGGATAGAGTAAATAAAAGCAGAATTGCTGAAGATTAGACTGAGCCCTGCATGGTCACTCTCTGCCTGCTTGTGGATTCTCTCTCTGGGCAGAACTGGCTGCTGTTGGCCAGTAGGAGGATTTCTCTCACACTTTAATGATATTAGAATACACTTCACAAACAATTTGATCCACAATATATTTAGGCAACGCAGAACTTAACTATTTTCTTTGAATATGCAAGACTTCCGATTCATTTATAGCCGCAGTTATAAATGAATCGGAAGTCTTGCATATTCTCTATAGAGTAATACTTCATAACAAAGTGCAGTAAACCTACAATAGTAAAACCTATTGCGCTAGAAACCAGTGTGTTAATGATTACGATAATGAATTAAAAGAATATACCAGTTTGTAATACCAAGCAGCATAAAATGCTGTTTTTGTTTGGCTAAAATTGCTGGAAGCGATTGTTTGACTCACATATTCGAGTTACAAATGGCCGCACCCGCACTTACATTAAAAAAGGGCCTAAGGTGAAGTAGGCCTATAATTCACTTTGCTAAATACACCTCAGATAATAATATACATATATATGTTTTATCTGTAATAACTGCAGCTGTTCAGAAACATATATAGGCCTACGGCATACAGTTGTTTTATGTCTTTGTACAATAAAGGCTAAAACAACTTTAAATAATAGGTACGTCATTAAAAATAATTGAGATAAATGTTTGAAATTTGATCAGCATAGGAAGATTTATCATATCAAGCCCGTGTTGTTTCATTTAGAGCATGATCATGTTAATAAAAAGTAGGTCATTTTAATTTATTTTAAACATTAGAACTAGTCCAGTGGTCAGCCTTGTTGATGACATCTGGTGGTGTAAAACTTTACTGCATGACCAGTATAGCTGAGTTTCAGTAGCCTACATTTTAACATTTTTAGGACCTTTATGACCACGGCATTATTTTGTATTATTCATAGAACTAAATTTATTACAATGATGTTGGAAACACAACCCTATGAAACATTCTGATAAGCCAAGGCATGAATATGCGTGCATGCACATGTGATTATTCTCACCTGTTAGGTGTTGTTTGGGTAAGAACAGGTGCTGTAGGGATGCAAGACACACAGCTGGTGTCCTGTTATCCTGATTTTACTTATCTGAGAGAAACAATGTATGTATAATTAAGTTGCATCCATAACTTAATTTTTATAAGAGCACAGAGTAAGTGCAACATAGTTGTACTCAAAAGTCAGTAAACTTTTTTTTAAAGGAAGGTATATTTAAATTCATCAATGATGCATTAAATTCAAAACTGATATAAGATTCAGAAAAATCTGTAAAAAGGAATGATTTCTGTGACACTGAAGACTGGAGTAATGATGCTGAAATTTCAGCTTTTCCAAAACATACATACATATATATATATATATATATACACATATATATACTGTATATACACACATACATACATAGAGAGAGAGAGAGAGAGAGATTTTAAAGATGTAATAATTTACAATATTACTGTTTTGATATACTTTGTCAAATAAATGCAGCTTTTATGAGCATGAGACTTCATTCAAAAACATTAAAACATTATGAGGATACATCAGTGTTCAATGTACACATTCCAAATGCAAAACAGTGTAACGGTCAGTGATTTGACATGCAAATCAGTCCTTTGCAAATCAGAAAGTGTGACACTTCCGTCTCATTCCAAAAGTAAACTGTGTCATTGTATCCTCATAGTGGCATATCTGTCTATTTGAACAAAATAAAAAGTTTCGTTTATAGATAGGCCTATCTAAAAATGGAAAAATGTAAGTTTAAATACTAATTGAACTGTAAAATATCCACATTTCATATAGATGTGAAGATAAACATATGTAGTATTTTTATTTTTAGTTTATTGTTGTTACGTGTTGTCAGTATCATCAAACCATGTAGGTGGTAATATTGTTTTTCCTGATAGCCATTCATTTACTTTGCAGGTGTGCTGGTGAGGTGAAATAGTTAGTGCTGGGTGACGTTTTCTTTAGGGTGCCATGGAAACTAATCCTTCTCAGGGCAAATGTGAACAGCTCCAGACAGTGCAGGTGACATCTGCTCAGATAATGTCCTTTATGTTTGAGCACAAGCCGAGCGCTTCTGCAGAACATGGCCACGACAGACAGAGACAGACATTTCTATCTACTGCCAAAGGCAAGAGAAAAAAAGATAATTTGCATTTTCAACAGTAACTCTTTTAACTGCCACATAGCCAACAGGCAACGCCTGCCCAGCAGGTAGCTGTTTGCTAAGCACTTCATGGAATAATACTGCAAGATATGCTTCATTCAGACATAATATAATTGTCACAACATAAGCAGAACTGTAAATGCATCAAATGTAAATAAATAATCATAATAATAATAAACTTATAAAGTATTTGTTTCCACTTAAAAACGAATTGGTCAGTTTCTACAATTTTCTTAAGATTTTGTTTCTGTTTTATTAAAATAATGTATAATTTTTTAATACATTTTTCTGAATAATGCCCATTGAATAACCTTATAGAGATTAAATATGCTATTACCTGTTGACTCAAAGAAACACTCTGACAAGGATAGAAATATTTAGTAAGGATATTTACACACTCGTAAACAATGGGGCTTTTCTTAATGATCTGACTAGAAAATATTTCTGTATTTCAGTTTTAATGGCACCATTTTATTGGAAATATACTGATTATTACATTTATATTGTTCTTAAAACACAAATACAATTAAGATGATAATATAAAGGTTTATTTCACAATCTGTTGACTTTACAGTATTACGAGTGCTACTGGTTTAAAAATAAATAAATAAATGAGCTTTTAACATGTTTCCTTTTGTCTAAATGCCAAATAAATAAATAGGCTATGAAAATAAGACATGACATTTGTAGCCTATCCTTTGTCTACATATGTCACAGCCTAAGCATTCTTTCTAGTTAGTCAGCATATTATTGGCGTTGTATTACTTGTTGTAGAATGGTAAAGCCTCGGTGAAGAGTGTGACAACAGTGAAATGTCAGTCGATGTGTCCCGCTGCTGTGGTGCTTTACTGACGCGTGTCTGCATCTGCGTAACGCGAGCCGAACGAACAAAACCTTTTCATCTGCAGGTATTGTGCGTGTGGCTCAACGTGAGACAAGTACAGAAAACACACAAAACATCCATCCTGGACGTCCATTCATTCATTAGGTTTCTGATGATGACTTGTCTTCTCTCCTTGAAGACACAACCATAAGACCAACAGATCATGTGTGCAATGATTTTCTCAAGTAATAACTTTCTTCAACAATACAAACATCATATAATAATCAGTAGTAGTCCGTGTAAATTAAAATACGAATAGGCCTACTAGTACACTCAAATTATTAATTATAAGGCTACATTTAGGCAGCCTACTAAAGTGTTAACAAAACTGGAGTAAAAAAATTAAAAAATAAACAAATCTTACCGTGTCATTCAGCGAATCAGTGGCGTTTTAATAGTACCGCTAATGCACACTGACCTGAGGCCTTTGGCTTTACATAGCAGTGTCGGTGTATTTAGTTTTCACGCGGGTAAATGCATTGATCTGCTCTCCGTCTTCAGCGCGCGGAACTCTGTCCTGGACACCTGTCACACGGCACTTTCCTCTCATCCAATATTGACACAGGGAGTGAAATGGGAGGGCCAGAGTAGATTACTTCTATTATGTCAATCATGTCGCTCTGTGCAAACCGACCTCGCGTTTCGTCGAGATAAAAATCGAGGAGACATCTGGAGCGCATGAGGTCAGTGCGCGAGATCATACAAAGGTGACCCCTTTAAACCTGCTCTCTGCTGAAGGTGAACGATTCATAAATATAATCGGAGCATTAAATGGTAGCCTATAAATACACACTTTTGCTAATAGCTTGCTCAGCTCATGTTATTTTTAAGTATTTCTTTATGTTTGCTCTTCGTACGACAAGGAAAAGGGGAAAAAAGTTAAAATGAGGTCAAGGAAACTGCATATATATACTTTTATATCCTTAGAAATCATACGATAATAAGATAAATATTAACTTTTTGTTTTAAATGTGGTATACAGCATGCCTCACTGCTGTTAATGACATTAAACCACAACACATTTGCCAAAGAAAAGCAGGGGACAATGACCGACAGAAATAATAATTTAAGGCCATATTTTCAAATATATGAAAGGCTTAACATTTGATTATAACGTTATTGTGCAGTCGTTTTTATTTATCATTTAAACACTTTATTTGCAGCAACAGCCATTAAATAGCTGATGTTTTTCTGCCCCCTACTGGATTTGACAAAAGATAACAAGTAGAGACTTTCAAAATGTATTTTTGGCGTTGACAAAGGTTGCAAGACCTTAGTTACTTAATACATACTTAAGGCAGTAGAGAAATTAGTTGTCACTTTTCATACATCATGGTTTATTTTTGAAGCTCAATTTTTGTTCAGGTACACTTCTTTTGAAAAGTCTGGAGTTTAGAAAGATTTTTAGAAGAAATTAATACCTTTATTCAGCGTGGACACATTCAATTTCAAGTGAAGTTACAAAAATAATGTAACAAATCAAATAAATGCATTTTTTTAAATTCTATTTTTTTTTTTAAATCTTGAAAAAAGTATCACGTAACGTTTCAACAAAAAAACACTAAGCAGCACAACTGCTTTCAACATTGATATGAAATGTTTCCTCAACAACTGTTTTTACTGTACCCAGACTTCGAATGGTAGTGTATACTTTCATGTCTAGGCTTATAGATGCAGTTACCACCAGGCCAGATCCAGCTAGG